TGCCTGTTCTGCATGGACACCACTTCCATCTCCCAATCCAGAGCTCTTCCAAGAATTGTTCCCCTGTTCTCAAGTCTGCTCCTCTCAGTACAAGTATAGGTGCAGGAGGGGCTAGTCCCTGACCACAAGCAGGTGCTGCCAGCCACACCCATACTGAGGACCTGGGCTTGTTTTACACATATAAATAGTAGTTTGCATAAAATCCATTCCAAATTTGCCAGGAATACACAAACCTGGAGGTTGCATTTTGTTCAGGTCTCTACCAGGGCCATTCTCCATCCAGGAACCCCTGCTACTGCTGGCATCTGAGGAACAATGACAACTGCCCACTGACCACACTGGCACTTAAGCTTGTGGGACATAAGGCTGGCTGCAGGGTCCAGGCTGTCAGGTGTCAGCACCTGGTTGACCTGCACCTCCTTCTGCCACAGCAATGTCTTCCCACCCCAGCCATCATGTGGCTCCAGAGCAATTCCTTCAGCTCTGTCTGTATGTTTGCCTGTTAGAGTACCCTTTTTGTCATCACCCTTCCCACTCCGCAGTTAGGGAAATACCCTATTTTCAATTACAGGATAGACAAGTTACTTCATTTATGGATTTCAACAGAGGGTAGCAGAGGGGCACTGCTCAGTTTTCACAGAAGGGCATGCTGGGAGCTGAGTCTGCAGCTCCACACTTTAGGACAGGGAGAGTATCTCCCAGCCCATCCTATATCAGCACCTTAAGGGAGCTGGTGAGGCACAGGCTGTTAAGCACAATGTCATAGCAGTTCTCAATTCAGTGATGGCCTCCTCGTGACTTTTCCCTTAGTGTGTTGATCTGCCTGGCCCCTCCTCCACTTAGTTTATTTCAGTCCTTCCTAGAACACACAAGGTTCTGGGTTCCATCCCCAGAACCACACCACACCACACACACACACACACACACACACACACACACACACACACACGAACCTGTAAAACAGGGCCCAAGAGCACCCATCATAGTCAGCACAAATGAGCTCTACCAAAAAACAAACAACAAGTCAAGTTCAGTGGAGTGTTTCTAGCTGATGCTCATGGTGACACTCAGCACATGGGCCAGGCAGCCATTGATGGCCATGACAGGCACAACACATCAACCCTTGCACTGGTGTTGTCCCTGTGAGCACTGACCACACAAATTTCTCAAATCTGAGCCTGCTCAAGCCAGAAGCTGTGAAGACTGTTCTAGAAATGCCACCCCTGATACTGAGTAACTGCTGCCTGCTCTTTGCCACTGATTTTATGTACATATTGATTTTTTTCTGATGGTGCTAACAATTGAGCCCAGGGTCTTGCACATAGAGGGAGGTGCTCTAACCACTGAGCTACGTCTCTAGCCTGATTTTTTTTTTTTTTTTTTTTTTTGGATACTGGGGATTTAACCAAGGGTGCTCTACTTTTGAGCTACACTCCAAGCACCTTTTCTATTTTCATCTTGAGACAGGGTCAGAATTTCCCAGGTTAGCCTCAAACTTGCAGTCCTCCTGCCTCAGCCTCCCAAGCAGCTGGGACCATAGGCATGTGCCATGGTTGCTGGGACTATAGGCACGTACCACGGCACCCAGCTCTCCACTGATTTTAGACAAGAGTGCAGAGTGTATGTTAATCATGGTCCCCCAGACTAGCATAAGAAGTTGCTCTGGGATTCTGAGTGAGTCCATTGGTCTTAGAAACCCCATATTTTCTCCCTGGCATGATGGACTGTTTTAATCTACATTATGTGCTGAGTCAAGAAACACGAGAGGCAGATTACTTTCTAGCGGAGGGGCTCTAACACCTCCTTACACAATGTGCTTGTAAGAAACTGACCTCCAACAAGCCTCTTTTTTTGGGGGGAGGGGGGTTACCAGGGATTGAACTCAGGGGCACTAGGTCATCAAGCCACATCCCAGCCCCATTTTGTATTTTATTTAGAAACAGGGTCTCACTGAATTGCTTAGTGCCTCGCTTTTTTGCTGAGGCTGGCTTTGAACTCACAATCCTCCTGCCTTAGCCTCTGAGCCTCTGGGATCAGGAGTGTGCCACCACACCCAGCTCCAATAAGCCTCCTAAAGTCACTCCTTATCCTGGAGATCTTGGTGTGTCTTTGCACAGGTGAGAGTGGGATGTCACTTGACAGCCAGAGGAAGGTCCACTTCCTTTAGGCCAACCCTTTTCCTCTCCCCTGCAAAAGTCCACCAATAAACCCCATGCTGCTGCTGCTGCTTGTTGTGTTCCTCTCACCTCTAAGTTCATAAAGCATACTCAGAATAACAGGGTTCTGTGAACCTCCACATTTCCTAGGTCACTCCTTTAGTGAGGTCATCTCTGAGTCTGAGATAATGGACATGAGTAGTAAACACCACTCAGTTTCCTCAGTGTCAGCTTTCAGTTGCTATGACAAAATACCTGAAGTAAATAAACTTAAATGAGGATATGGAGATTTTATATGTGTGTGTGTGTATAAAAACAGCACACAGGTTCTTATCACTGTATGACTCTAACACTATCGTTCTGTGCTTCTCAGGAAAGACCAGATGTTCTGGAAGCCCAAGAGCTCAGCACCCTCATGGTTGGCTGCAACCTGCTATGGCAGTTTTGTCCAATACATTAATGCTAAACTACATCCAGGAATGAGGCAAATGTGTTGGAAAATCTTCTCAACCCAGCATCCAGAAGAACCTACAAAAACTGAAGTCAGACACATCCTTCCTCAGAGGCTCCTGAATGACACCAGGTCAAAGCCCCTAGCCTCATCATGGATTTCCAGGCAAACAAGCTCTTACACATCCCTCCAAACTCCTAACTCCTTGCTCTTACCCTAAACCTAACCCTAACTTATACCTCAGAATCATTCCCCAAACCCTAACCCCCAATTCAAAACCTAACCCTTAACCCAAATCTTAACCACAAAGATAGCACAAAGGAAAAAAAGGAAAGATATGCCCTGGTACTTTCTTTCCCTACGCTCTCCAAGCTCCTAAAATTGGAGCTGAAGGTCAGGGTCAAACAGACTGTGAGGAACAGGTTAAGAGAGTTAGCAAGTAATAATATGACCCAAAACTCAGGGCTATCCCGGTCCCTCATCCAAAGCCCACAAGGTCAGTTTATTGCCTTATTATAAGGGAAGCCTGCACAGGAGACTCATGGACATCTTACTCCACTACAGTGGGCATTATAGGGTTTGGTGGAAGGGTGGTGAAGTGAAAGCAATAAGAGGCATCTGGATGAACACAAAGCAAGACAGGGCTGTGTGGCAGGCCCACATCAGGTCTGAACTGCTAGGTGGATCAGGCTCCTACTTCCTGGAAACCATAGTTAGGACAGAGTGCTAAAACCTCTGCATCAGATAAATTGAGGCATCTTATTGAGATCTCAAATAAAAGAGTCATTAGGATGTTTTGTATCTGCATGGTGGGTATGGGGTCCCCCCCAACAACATTCTGGCTTTATCTGGATCTATCATTTTGGCCTGAGGTGTGACAGGTTGAATAGTGACTTTCCCACACAAATCTGATGTTTGCTTTCACAGAAGCCAATCATGCTAAGATCTATGAAAAAAAAAAAAAAAACCCAGGCAAAAAGAACAGCAACTGAGTCTGATTACTTTAGGAGCAGACAGGCTAGAACAGCAGGAGAAAGACATCAGAGGCCATCTAAAGCAGGCTTGTGTAATCCCTACTTGGAACCTGTATTGCAGATACAACGAAGTAACTGACTAGAAGTATGATCTGGAATATATGAACGGTCACTCCAGGGAAGGCAATGTGATGAGACGGGGGTAAGGGAAACTTACATCAGGAGTTTAACACAGCAGTCAGGGTCAGAACTACAGTGATAAAATGCAGATTTTAAAAGACAGAGATGACATAAACCACGAAAGCACTGAACATATGGTCAAGAGAACAATCAAGAATGACACAGGTTTTGTGACCTAATCAATTAGACAAGGTATTTATACCACTGAAAAGCAGAAGACAGGGTAACATGGTGTTTCAAACTTACAGAGTTTGAATTGCCCATGGAACACCCATGCAGAGACTGAGTAGACAGCTGGGTTTCAGACGCTACCTACTCTGGGATGCAAGTTCAGAAATATAAGCAAAGATCAAGCTCAGGTCTCCTAGGTCATCCAGAGATCCCAATTCAATAGTGCAGAGAAACTGAGGCTGATGCCTGGAATAGCCAACATTTAGACAGGTATTCTGCTAAGACTCAAATAAGGTATCTATCTGGGTCTATTTGGGGCAAGAAGCTCCTTGGTTCCTAAGAAAATGCACAGGTGGTTCTCTGCTCAGAAATGAAGCAACATGGACAAAGGACCATGCACGGGGGTCAAAACCTGGATCCAGCAGTGTCAGGCCCTATCTCATCCATACCTCTTCTAATACACAGCACACTTTCACTCATTGTCCAATTTTATCAAAAAAGGAGATTTATTAGGGTGATGTGACATAATACATAAAGCATAGGTCTGTGGCACAAACTAGATGAGGCCACTGGTAGGACATCTTTTCAAAAATGAGCCAAATGTACAATTACGTAGCTTCCCCACAAATCCTTATCACCAATGGCTACTGAATCAAATCAACTCAATGTTCTTTTTTCTTTTTGGGTACTGGGGATTAAATCAGGGGCAGTCTTCCACTGAGCTATACCCCAGCCCCGATTCCTTTTCTTTTCTTTTTTCCTTTTTTTTGAGGTAGAATCTTTTTTTTTCTTTAGTATTTATTTTTTAGGTGTAGATGAGCACAACACAATGCCTTTATTTTTATGTGGTGCTGAGGTTCGAACCCAGGTCCCACCCGTGCTGGGCGAGGGCTCTACCGCTGAGCCATAATCCCAGCCCCGAGGCAGGATCTTTTTAAGTTGCAGAAGCTGGCCTATTGCCTCAGCCTCCCAAGTAGCTGGGATTACAGGCATATGCCACCACACCCAGCAAGTTCAATAATAATACATTGAACACTCACTTTAGCTTATCATAGAAGATCTCCTAAATGCAACTCTCTCTCTTCTGGCAGAAGAGATATTTTATTTAGAAAATCTAAAAATGGAGTCTTATGCTCATCTGACAGTCTCACACCTGCCCAACAAACTCAGATGCATGGACCAGGCAAGAACTAACCAATCCCATACTTGCTGACAGAGAATTCCTAGAAAGGCTCTACAGTCACGACAAACCTTGACAGCACCATGAGGAAAAGAGGACTGTGCCAAGATAGGGGAGAAGCTAAAAGAAATTGAACCTAAACTCTTCATCAGGAGTGTCCAGAGTGGCCTTGGTTTTCCCTGCTGGACGAGGTCTGCAAAACCTTTGGCTCTTCTTTCTGAAGGCCTCACCTACAGGCTGCACTTGGGCTGAACGGGCAGCTGTCAATGAAAGGAGGAAGCAAAGAGTCAGAACTGAGTAACAGCTCACATTATCTATGCAGTTATGAATCCCACACAATTCCAACTGTTATTAAAATTTACTAATCAGTTTCTCAAAATTATTATATTATCATCACCCCATGTTTAGAATCAGATTCAGTAATCTGACAAATATGTCAAGATCAAGTTGTAGAAACAGGGTTTGAACCAAGGTTACTCATCCCAATGCTATGGGATCTGGCTTCATGGCCGATAGAGAAAGTCAAAGCAAAGGCAGGTGAGGACACCTTTCCCCACCAAAGGAACAGAACCAGGAGAAGCCAGCCACTTCACCTCCCCCCAACCCCCACAAGATGTACAGACTCCCTGTTCAGGCTTCCCTGAGCCCATCTCCATCCAGGACCAGCCTTTCTGTTCTAGAATTTTTTTTTAAGTACTGGGGATTAAATCCAGAGGCTCTCAACTACTAAGCCATATCCCAATCATTTTTTAAATATTTTTTTTTTAAATTTTGAAACAGGGTGTCACCAAGTTGAAATCCTCCTGCCTCAGCCTACCAGGCAGCTGAGATTATATGCTTGTACCACTGCACCCAGCATGTTCTGGGGTTCTCCTTTCCACTCCCTAGATACTTACTCCCTACCCCCTTGAACTAAGTATACTGAACTAACCACTTCCCAGATACTCACCAGCCCTGAGAGCCCGCAAGGACTCTTGCCACTCGGCCTCCATCTGGGCCCTGTAGTCCCCAAACAAGGAGTGCATCAGCTGCCTCTTCCGAGGCAGGGGAGTTCTTTGACTCCGTAGAGTTCGGATTGCACCAATGGCCTGCTCTTCTGCAGATAAAAACAAAGGGCAAGGGAGTGGGGTTGTGGCTCAGTGATAGAGAGCTTGCCTTGCACATTTGAGGCACCGAGTTCTATCCCCAGCACCACGTAAAAATAAATAAAGGTATTGTGCCCATCTACAACTAAAAAAAAATATTAAAAACACACAAACGACTAGTAACTATGTATGCTCAACTCCTACTGTCCTATCGCAAAAACAATTACATCCCCTTGCAGAACCACTGTCACTATCACATCCCCCCAACTATATGTGAAGGACCCTCACTCTGTTTTGGGGTAGGTCTCTGCATCTTGAGGCCCAGCTCCAGCTGCTCCACACACCAGGCCAGTTCCCGGGCCAGCTGCTCCGCCTGTGAAGAATTGTTACAAAAGGCACTGGGACACCCCCCACCAAGCCACACCCCATTTCCCACCAGGCCTTAACCACCACCACCCTCGCCCCCAGATCTTCGACCACACCACTCGCAGACTCGCTCCCAAGTTCACGGGAGAACCCATCCTTGCCTGGGCCTCGGAGCTTCGGGGAGACTCCTCTGCGGCAGGCTTCTCGGAGGTCTTCTCGCCTCCATTCGCCACAGAGACCCTGTTCTGGGTTTTCTTCTTCTTTTGCTTCTTGGAGACAGTCACACCTTCATCGCGGACGGGGTGCGCTCCGGAGGCGGCGTCAACGCACGTGGGTTGTGCCCAGTGGAGACGGACGGCGGAAGGACCCGGGGCATCGGGGCCCCGGCCCGGGAGCTGGGGTTTGCGGGACGCGCGAGCGGTACCAGGTTCCAGGTCTGCTGGCACCCTCCGAGCAGGACGTCCTAGAGCCTGGAGAAAGGGAGGCAGCCCGAGAGTCACGGGGCGCCGCCCACCGCCCCGGCCCCGCCACCCAGGCGTCCCTTCCGCGCCGCTCACCGCCATTCGCCGAGCGGCCGCCGAAATTTACATCGGGCCGAGTCCCACGTCCAACTCCGTCCCGGAACCACGCTTGGGACGCAGAGTTCCGCGGCGCGCCCGGAGGTGGGGCGGAGAATTGGGGAGGGGCGGGGCGAGGCGGGCTCCCGGGGAGGGGAGGGGTTCCCGGGAGAGGCGGGGAGGTGCGGCCCAGGGGCTGCGGGAAGGAACCGCGCGACTAGCGGGAGCCTGCGGCACCAGTGTTGGCGGGTCTTGCTCGTGTCCCAGGCACAGCATAAAACTAAAGAGGGACTGGGGCTGGGGCTCAGTGGCAGAGCTCTTGCCTGGCATGTGTGAGGCCCTGGGTTCGATTCTCAGCCCCACATATAAATAAATAAAACAAAGGTCCGTCAACAACTAAAAAAAAAAAAAACTACAGAGAATGTCCTCACAAAGCACACCTCTCAGTGGTGAGGAAAAAAAGTAGGCAAACAAAGTTGGCACAGAGCTACCTCGTGGGTAGCTTCAGAGGGTCAATAGACCTTCGGTGGAGAAAAGCGCAGTGCAGGACAAAGGCGTGGGCGCGTTGGTGTCGCAGGTGGCATAGTCAGCTCAGGGGACAGGGAGGGAAGGTCCAGCTCCTGTGGGGCCCTGTACACTAGTCAGGAGTTTGCTTTCATTCTAAGAATGGGACAGTCATTGTGAATCGTGGGTGATGTGTCCTTACTCAGGTGTGTGCCTGGGACACGAAAGGGCCAGATGAGGTGGAGAAACAGAGCAGCCGCAGGACAGAGGAAAGAGCCCAGAGCACTTGCTGGTGGGCTTGGTGTGGCCCTAAGGGAGGCTGGGGAGTAAGTGGAGGAGGCTAGCCCTATGCCACAACCTAACACTGGGCCACCATCTCCGCGGGGCCTCACAATGGAGAGCAAATACTTAAGGGCTTTGGTGAGCTTATTCCAATTCTTTGCCATTATTAGCAATGTTCTTGTGTGTCTCCTATGTGAAAGAATTTTTTCTAAAATTTTTGTTAGAGTTGTATTAGTTCTGTAGAGCATTCTGGGGAAAATTAAATGTCCTTAATTGTTGAGAGCCATTAGTGGATGCCTGGCATTTTGCTAGAGGGAATGGTTGAAAGGTGACCCTGCTCTGGGATTAGGGAGGATCCTCCAGGAATAGGGCGGTTCCCATATTAGGGCGGATCCTGTTGCCTCGGGCCGGCTACTTTGGAGTCCCCAGTTGAGTCTCACCGGGTTCTGAGAGAATTGGCGCATGGAGCCCGGTGGAGCCAGTGTATTCCTGGGAAGTGTGTGTAGAGTGTCGGTGAGAGTTCCGGAATAAAGGTTGCTGTTTGAACCTACAAGGCTGTGTGGTGGCTCGGTTATTTTGTGCCTAGCCAGACTGCGGCACTTAATTAGCTAATTAATTAAATGTCCTTTAATAAATAGTGATGATAACTTTATAAAGGTCTTTCACACATGGGGGGGGGTGCTGGGGCTCGAACCCAGGGCCTTGTGCATGTAAGGCAAACTGAGCTACTAACTGAGCTATATCCCCAGCCCCCTCACACATTTTTTTTTGTTAATGATTCCTGAGTTGGTAGTTGTTATTGTTTTGGGGGGGGGGGATACCAGGTATTGTACTCAGGGGCACTCAACCACTAAGCCACATCCCCAGCCCAATCTTTGTTTTTTGTTAGAGACAGGGTGCCACTGAGTTACTTAGTGCCTCACCTTTGCTGAGGCTGGCTTTGAACTCATGATCCTCCTGCCTCAGCCTTCTGAGCTGCTGGGTGTGTGTGTGGGGGGTGACGAATAACTTGTGTAGATTGATACAGCTGTTTATTGTAGGACAACAGAGCTATTTATACATTTTGCACAGCTTATCTTAATTAGCATAAACTAGATACATCAGTCAACCAATAAGGAATCTCTACACTTAATGGCTCACTTTTGTTACTTCTCAAACCACTCCCTCTGGCATTTTGCCAGGCACCATCCAGACTTGTTTGGGAGCTCTAACATTTCTCTGGCAAAATACCACGTGTTATTTTGACTTGTCTACAGACCTTAACAGCTGGGATTACAGGCTTGCGCCAAGGAGCCTGGCCTGGATTTATTTTTCATTGTTACCAGTATTCAAATGTGGACACACATATCTATATTAACAAGAAAAGAATCTGGTCTTTGTCCTGGGTTACTGGCCCACTTTCCTCCCCAGCCTTCTGTGGTAACCTGTCTGAATTCCATCTCAGAGGAGGCTGGGCTCAGGCTCCCTTACCTCTGGGACTTGAGCTCTGGAGAGCCCATGCTGGGTACCCACCCCACCACTCCTGGACACAGGAGAGCAGGTGGCCTCCCAGATCGGCTCCCAGATTGGAGGCTGAGGCAGTTTGAGGCCAGTCTGGGCAACTCAGGGAGACCCTGTCTCTAAATTAAATTTAAACGGCTGGGGATGGAGCTGAGTAGTAGAGTGCTCCTGCGTTCAATCCCTGAGACTGTGGGGGAAAAAGAAATGAGGATTTCACATAATTTGCATATAATTTAGACACAACCTCCTTTGATAATAATCTCTAGATTACTTAAAATACCTAATGCAACGTAAATGCTACCTAAATAGTTATTATACTGTATTATTTAGGGAAGAAGAACAACAACAAAAGGCACATGTTCAATACCGAGGCAATTCTGAAAAAGTTTCAATCAATTTGAATTCACTAGGCAACCTACAGACATGGAAAGCCAATTCATTCCAATACATTTGCATTTCTAAGCATTTTATACCTTTTGTTTTTATTATGGAGGATATTTCAGTTTTTAATTACGTTATCTGGTTGATTATTGCTGGTGGAAAAATGATATTGATCATTTTTAACTTCTGAAGATAAATGACTTTGTCTTTAATAATAATAAGGCTTTATTTTATTATTATTATTACACACACACACACTTTATTCTGGCGCCCAGAGATTTAAGAATGAAGTGTTTACTTTTCATTGCTTATAGCCTGTAATCTTCCAGTTGATGTCTTTTTTATATTTAAAAAGAGTAAATTTCACAGCTCTTTTTTTTTTGGTGAGACTTTGTATTATTCACTTCCAATTTTGGTAGTTTAATATTCTGGAAAATGAACATGCTAAAATACTCATATTCTTTATGTGAATAATATGAATTCAACAGTATATAATTAATCTTCGTAAATGTTTCACAAAAATGCTCATGAAAACACATTCTCTAACCTGGCTTGGTGGCTCACACGTGAAATCCCAGCGACAGGGAAAGAAGATGGCAAGTGCAAGGTCAGCCTCGGCAATTTAGGGAAACCCTCGGTGTAGAAGAGAAGAGTGGATATTATCTGCTGAACGAATTTGAGTCTCTCCGTGTATTTACGTGTTTCTTCCAGTGGTCGGTTTTGCTTGCGCGCTTTTTGGGTGTCGCCCCGGTACTGGGGATCGAACCCGGGCCGTCGCGCAGGCTAGGTCCCACCCTCTTTACGTTATGACACAGTCTGATCCAGCTCGGGGGCTTGTGTACTGGTTCTCTCGGGCTCGGCCCACTCGAACCGCCGAGACCTGAGGCGGCTGCGGGTTCACCCTGGCAGAGTCCCGGCGCAGCGCTGCGCCCCCGAGTCCCCTCCCCCTCCCGCCGTCCAGAGCGGCTACGCCATCGGGGCGGGGCTTCCGAGGGAAGTTGAGGGCGGGACTTTGGGTCCTCAGAGCCCGGGCTCGGGCAGGGCGCTGGGTGCCGCACGATGCTACCCAGCTGGACGCGAACCCCGAGGGAGGTGAGTTCGCTGGGCGGAGCCTTTGCTTCGGTGTCCCTGGAGTCCAGTGACGGGCGTGGGGGTGGGGGACCTAGCGCGGCGCTGGCAGAGGGACCCGGACCTCTGGAGGTGCGCGGCCGCGCGGGGGACTGTGGGAGCGCGGGCGCGGGGAAGGGTCGGCTCGGCCTAGTTTAGGGTCCTGGCCTCGGCGGGATCTGAGGGGCCTCTTCAGGTGGGGTGTGCCGCGTCAGGCCCAGCGGAGACTTTGCCCGGGAGCCGAGGCGTTTTCGAGTGGCCCGGCGCGCGCGAGTGGGGCGGAGCGGGAGAAGGTGTGAGGCTGAACGGTGCCCGGGACTCCCGGGTCTGCCGGGGGCGGGGGGATGGGGGGACTCTCGGTGACGTCAGAGGTGCGCAGGGCCCGGGCGGGGCGGGATTCGCCCCTCTCGGCGGTCTTCCCAGGCGGCCCCTCGGTAATGGGCGTCCTCTCCAGGTGGGGAGACTCTGGGGAGGGAGGAGAATTTGGAACTGTTATTGTGGGAGAAGGGACTGGGGCATTGGCCAAGTCCCGTCCTGCGGTTCCTGCTGCCAGAGCGTCTCTGCTGTGTCTTCAAGTGTCAGATTCAGCCTTTAGCCAGGAGAACCCGCTGCCCAGCTCTTTCAGGCAGTTGGCAGAATCCGTTGCTTTGTGATTGCCATATACAGGCACGTCGTTTCTGTGCTGCCTGACAGGCAGAGCAGCCCATGACTCCTGGAACGAGCCCGTGTACATCTGGCAGCTAGCTTTGGCTGTGGTTAGATTGGGTCCACCCTGGTAATCGATGCCATAACCTTAGTTCTTTATGCAAAGTCCCTTGTGCAGGATATCTACAGGGTCTTGGAAGTAGGATGTGAACATGGGGAAAGAGTGTTCTGCCTAACACAGATTAAGCGCATGTCTAGGGAACATCCCACTGAGAATAAACAGAGAAAAGCAACGTGTAAAATTAGTGCCAGACTAGTTTGGTACCGTTTATAATTTTTTTAAAACAGGAAAAAAAAAAGTGCATACGTGTATTTTCTTGTGTAAGCCTAGAGTAATCTGGAAGGACATTTCAAAGTGGAAAGGAGAACCAAGTGACTGGGACATTTTTAACTTTTTCTTTAAACCTTTTAAATTTTGAGCTATGTGACTCAAAACTCCTATTAGGAACAATGATGAGAATTCAAGGTAATTTAAAATAAAATGTACTGAATAAATGTTGGAGATGATTTAAATTCCCCCATGAATGGGAAGAGTGGAAATTCCTTCCAGGGAATCTGGGCATCTGCTCCCAGGGCAGGCAGACACACCATCACTGACAGTCTTATAACTCCCTCTCAAGTTTCCTGCTGTGCATCTACTGCTGAATGGATGGGAACCTTAGTGTATTCCCTGCTCTGAGTCTCATCTTATACCATCCTTCTGCACACACTTCCAAGTTAATCTTTTGAGACATTTTGGTTTTTGTCTCCTGATTTAGAAATGCAGCCAAGGCCTTACTGCATCAGCCAACCAGTGCCTCCTAACAGTCTGTCCCCAGTGACATCCCTCTGAGCTCTGTCCTTACCTCCTTGTCTTCTCTCATAAGCTTTGTCTCTAAACTTGCTCTCTGGCCTCCGCACTCAGTTGTGCGTTCCTCTGTGATCTCAACCCAGCAGCCCTGGGTGATGTCTGCTGTCATCCCTACTCCTTGCACCTTTCTCCTGCCACCCTTCTTCAGAGAAGCCCCCTCTCAGATCCTCTCCAGGTCCCCTTGACTGCACCTCACCAATATCCCTTTGACCCTATCTAAATCCAATGTGGAACAGAATATCCCTTCTCCCAGGAAAGGCAGAAAAGAATACCATTGTCAAGGACAGAGTTTATGCTTTTTCACAGAATAGTGAGAGGCTGCTCCCCTGTTATCCTCTAAACACCTGCAGCCTTCAAAAGCCTGTATGCTGCATAGCCTCACTGAGTGCAAGCAGCACCCCAACTGCAAGGCCCATGGGACCTATTACAGTGCCTTTTCCCGGCTCCCTCATTTTTCTGTCTATACACTAGCTGCCCCACTGTTCCTCTGACCTGACATGCATGCCCCTGCCCTCTTCAATCTTTGCATTCACATTGCCTCTGCCTGGGACTTCTCTTCCTCAGTGTCACAATACTCCATCTCTCACCTTTAGGTCACTTTCTTGGTGAGGATTTCCTGACAACCCTAGTTAAAATGTCCCTGTCTTTCCTGTTACCGCTAACCAGAGCAGTTGTTTTATTTCACTGATGCATTTGCTGTGATGATACCTTAGTGAGTTTTATGAGGGCATTGTTTGCTGTTGTGTCCCACATAAAACCCCAGAACAGATTCTAGCATATAGTGATGTTCAGAATTCCTGAAAAAGAGTATCCTAGAGGAGAAATCGAGGTCATATGTTGACATTTTCCAATATGAGTTTCTACCAACTTTTTCTGTCTGCCTTCTCTACTTCTGAGGGGCAGGGAATCAGCAGTATCTATTGGGAGTGCAGTGTCAGCAAGGAGATAAAGTTTGTCAAGCCCCACATCCTGGTGGGCTTCTAGGCCTGTTGGGGGCAGTGGGTGTGGTAATTTAGTAATTCAGTAATTTAGTCCATGTGAGAAGCCTGTGTGTCTCCAGGTGGGAGTGTCCCATCTCCTGCCCAGAGAGAGTGATTAGGACTGAAAATGAGCCCAAGTTTGAATATCTTCACAGAATAGGGGGTGTTACTGCCTCCTAACAGACTTGCTCAGGAGGTGAAGTGAACCTTGGAATGCTAACAGGGAAAGGGAACTGAGAGAACTGAGCAAGATCAGTGAGCGAAGTGGGAGGACATCCCAGGTAGATGGAGATGGAAATACCCCGTGGCTGTTGCTGAGTGCATCTGGGACAACCCAACAGCTAGGATTTGTAGGCACTGGCACATAATGATCATATATGTCTATAGCACAGGCTGCTCCTGGCCACTCAATCTTGGGTCTGCTGCTTCCCTGCAATAGATAGGTCTTATGCATTCACCTTTATGGCATTGTGTCAGGAAGTAGGCTCTGTGACTATTGCTCTTCTCCTATAATGGTGGGCCTGAGCCCTGTAGGGAAATACCTTCAGAGTACAAGGACTCATGCAATCCTGGCTCATGATTCTGTGTCCATATGGCTGACTGTCTCTCCTCTTGGGTCTAGAATCAGGGAACATAGCATTAGTCTCTGATGCCTGGCAACCTCAGGCCCTTTTCAGGTCTCTGGCTGCAGGGGTAGAGTAAGAAACTTCTGCCTTGTGAGAGGATGGATCCCTGTAGCTGACACTCACCTCTGTCCTTGCCGGTTTTCAGATTCCAGCTATTTCCAGCCTCAGAACTTGCCTCTAGGAGGCAGAAATGGAGCCCACAGCTTCAGGACCATCCCCTTGGACCCCTGTATCACAGACCTGTGTGAGTGATACTCCTCCTGTGACCCACCCTGGTTCTTTAGTCTTTGGGCTCCTCTACTTTGGCATTAATGAGCTGGAAGCCATACACCCTCACCATTAGCAACCAGGTACTGGGAACATGTTTCCTACTGGTGTCCTCATTCTGGGGAGATGATGTCCATGTCACCCTATTCTCACCCCTAGGAGCATCATGCCTCATGGACTCAAGGGGCTGAGGCTGACCATCAGAAAGTAAGTTGACCTGGCCTGGCCCCTGGTGTCCTGAACAGGCTTCTGGCTTCTTTCTTGAGACACAGGGCTATAACATGATGGTTATCAGAGTCCTTTGCTGTCTACTGTAGCCCTGACCCCTTCCAAGCCCAGTGACCAGACTGGTGGCAGTCTCTGCCTCAGGATTCTTTCCTATACCTTCCTGGTGGTATTCACACTGCCCAGCTGCTCCTATTGCCCTAAGAACCCTTTTAGAGAGCACTTTGGAGGGAAAACTTTTTTTTGGGGGGGGGTCCCTCATATGGACCTTTTGCTTCCTTTGTTTGGGTCAGTCAGTGCCTATGTTACTCTGACAAGACCCTGGGTGGATGGGGATGGTTAGGCTAAGGGTATACGTGTGTAGGAGAGTCCTGCACATGTGGAAGAGAGCAGATTCTAAAAAGAAGTGAAGAGCAGGTAGAGAATGGTCCCCAGAAGTGGCCCCAAGGAGCAGGCCTGCTCATCAGCCTGAGCAGAGGCAGAATGTTAAGCAGACTGCCAAGGATCCCTGCTGGGAGTGGTGAGAGAATCCCGGAGCCTTGCTCTGCACCTTGGTGGGGGAGAGATAGGCTAATGGGGGTTCATGTTTTAAAAGCCACTGTGGAGCCATCAGAATAGGCAGCCCCAAACACTTGCTCCTGTACATAAATGTTCAAAAAGCAGAAACTGTCAGAAATCTAGAAAATTGGTAAATCTTGACAACAACCAAACAATGAATCAAGAAAAAGGCAATTTTAAGGGCTGGGGTATATAGCTCAGTTAGTAGAGTGCTTGCCTTGCATGCATAATGCCCTGGGTTTGATCTCCAGGACCACAAAAAAAGAAAAAGGCAATTTTAAAATGGTAGGAAGGTTTTGTGGTACTCTTAGTTGCCTGTGTCTCAACCTGTTCCTGGCATTTTTAAAGAAGGCAGCTTGTGTTCTCATCTTGGGACCATGGTCTCTTGTTCCAGGGTATGTAATAAATAGATCTTACTTAAGAATTGTTGTTTTTGGGCTGGGGATGTGGCTCAAGCGGTAGCGCACTCACTTGGCATGCGTGGGGCCCTGGGCTCAATCCTCAACACCACATAAAAATAAAGATATTGTATCTACCTAAAACTAAAAAATAAATATTAAAAAAAAAAAAAAAAAGAATTGTTTATTCTAACCTGTCTGGGACTCCCAAAAGGACCCCTGCAAGGTGTACATACATCTCTGTTCTTCCTAACTCAGATCTTAGAGCAGGAAAGCAGTAGGCTTAATAGCATTGTAAAGTGAACTGAGACCCTCCACAGGCACCTGGGGCATTGATCAGCCACCTGCAGCCCAGGAAGAAAAGCCGGTAAGAGACTTTCTTGGGGGAAAATCAGGATATTCTGAAGCACAATTAGGGGATTTAGAAAGCCACATTAATGCTTAGGACAGGGTGTGAACGCAGAAAAGGCCTATAAAGACCATAAGCTTTCATCTCTAGCTGGTCTCTAGGCTCAATGAAAGCAAGAAATGGAGAAGTGTTGTAAACAATGTTACAGAAGGGCCCTAGAACAGAACCAGTACACAGATGGTGAAAAGTGTTTTGTTTTTCTTTTGTGCTTAAGATTGGTGGTAATCTATCAAAATAGTATAGTAGCCAAAGAGTTAGGGATATAACTCAGTGGTAGAACACTTGACATGCATTCACAAGGCACTGAGTTCAATTCCCAGCATCACCAAAAAACAAATAAAATCAACACAAGCTAAGGAAATAACCCACAGTGTATAAAAAATATAAATTGTGTACAAACCTGTAATCTCAGTGACTCAGGAGACTGAGACAGTCTCAAGTTTGAGGCCAGCCTCAGCAAATTAACAAGGCCCTAAGCAACTTGTTGAGACCCTCTTTCAAATTAAAATATAAAATAAGTAAATAAAATATAAATAAAATAAATAGGACTAGGATGTAACTCAGCAGTAAAGAACTAGGTTAAATCCCCAATTCCAGGTCTGGTGCAGTGGCTCATTCCCTGCACCGGCCAGGGAATGGGTTTCCCTTTGGTGGGATGGGCTCGCTGAGAAATAAAAGCTAAGAAAAGTAGAAGAGCGAAATGACCACAGAACACAGAAAGTAATTTTTTTTTTTTTTTTTTTTTTTTTTTTAGAGAGAGAGAAAATTTTAATATTTATTTTTCAGTTTTCAGCAGACACAACATCTTTGTTTGTATGTGGTGCTGAGGATCGAACCTGGGCCGCACGTATGCCAGGTGAGCGCGCTACCGCTTGAGCCACATCCCCAGCCCCAGAAAGTAATTTCAAGAAGGATACTGAGACAAGCAAAGTTGACCAGATGGGTCCGGCTTCTAACAAAGAAAGGAGCCTATGTTTGCTTTATTTTTAACAGAAGACATCAAAGAAATTCTATGGAAAGTTCTTCACCAAAACAGGATAGAGATGGGGGCAGGTAGGCTACTCCATTCCTAGCAGAATCATGCCCATCTCCAGTGCTACGTGGGACCTTCTGGCAGAGCAGAGGGGAAGTTCACTTGCATCAGGCAGTCTATCCTGGTGGCACTGCCACAAGAAGTTCCCAGTGCCAGTATACCCACTCCTTGGCTACGATGCTGAAAAGGTCCTCAGGTATTTCACAGATGGCTTCCTGCATATTCCCTCTTTTTACTTTGAAAATGATGAGCTGTTAGTTCAAGCTCCCACATTTTTGTTCTAAGGGTACAACAACCTACTGATACAAAAGAGAATTAGTAGCAAACATATCATACCAATAACATACCATACAGAATGTTTCAGCGTATTTCCAGGATTAAAGCCATTCAATCCTTGAAGTATTTGGTCAGTTAGAGGGTAGGGTTCTTAAGATTGATTTTGCTTTTTTGAATATCCTGGATGTGACAGTGTAACTCCATAAGATCCAGGCTACTATTATTGCTATGCCAAATACCCATTAGATGATTTTTAACCTTTCCATAATCCCATTGGGAAGTATTATATTTGGCCACAATAATAAGAGACATATTTATAGTCAGCGTGGCATTTAAGCCTTTTCTTAAAGCAGAAAGCTCATTACCAATATTTATGACAGTAGCTTCCAAAGCATTCAAATTAGTTTCAATCTTTTCATCAATATTTATCTGATTGGGGCTGGGGTTGTGGATCAGCAGTAGAGCACTCTTGCCTAGCACGTGTGAGGCCCTGGGTTCAATCCTCAGCATCACATAAAAATACATTAAAAAAAAAAAAAGTGGGGCTGGGGATGTGGCTCAGGCGGTAGCGCGCTCGCCTGGCATGCGTGCGGCCCGGGTTTGATCCTCAGCACCACATACCAACAAGGATGTTGTGTCCGCCGAGAACTAAAAAAAAAATAAAATATTAAAAAAATTCTCTCTCTCTCTCTCTCCCCTCTCTCACTCTCTCTTTAAAAAAAAAAAAAGGTACAATACCTTTTTGTCCAACTACAACTAAAACATAAATATTAACAAAACTTATCTGATTATGGAGGGCTTTGGGAGTATTTTGAGCCAAATTATTAAGAAAATTTGCATGTTCAATGTTTTGAGATACAACCACTGAGGCTATTACAGTAGAAGTGATGAATGAAATTAAAGCATCCCCTCCAAGAATTATGAAACCAAGAGCTCACTTGGGTCTGGTTAACTAAGCATGCATCTGTTGTAAGATCTGAACACCAGCATCAGCATACCATGGGTCTGAAATGTTGGCTGTAGTAAGACAAAGGAGGATTGGTGAAGCATTCCTCTCCCTCTGTTAAATCTAGTGATGCAGTTAGTTAGATTGTACCTTTTACAGGCTACAAGATATTTATCACCTTTTTTCTTAACGCTTACATTTCCAGTAACTAAAACATATGGAGATTGAACACAGGTTCATAGGCCATAGCAGGAACCCTTTTTGCAATTCCTGCTATCTGTATAATGTAGAAAGTCTGAGGCTACAATTAAGCACCAGAGAGCTTTTCAAATTAACACCCTTGCCAAAGGTTAGAATATTACCAATGAAACCTCCAGGAGTCATGGCATCCTTACATAATTGTCTTTTTATCAATTCTTGCAGTCCAGTCCAAAATATATCCACTATTTCTAGAAACTTGTATTGGCAAGACGTTTGCACATTCCATCCATTTAGGAAAGGTACCAAAAAAATTCTATTACAGAACAATTAGGACAGTAAGGTATTGGTGGACGTTCTGCAGAGATGACTGGCTTGTTAGGAGAAAGTCCCATTTTAATAATTGTTAGACATATGTCCTTGAGTCACAGGGGTAGGTAGATTGACTGGTCTACCCACCCCTCCCCACATATGCTGTCTTTTCCTCAAAAGATACCCTTAAACAGCCAGCATGTTTTATCGTGGAACCAACATATAAGTAGTTGTCCACGGTAACTAGTATAATTAAATCCAGTCACATGGATGGGTGTAATATGAGTGTCTGTAAAACCACCCAGCATATGAGTATCATTAGTAAATACTGGGATGGATTCTGCAGTTCACATAGCTGGGTGTACTAAAGGTGGATCTGGAAAATATGTCCAGTAGCTTTCTCCATGGACCCCACTAACCTGATAGCTCAGTAGAGCCATCATAGCCACAAACTTTGTAGCTAGAGACTTAGTTTCTCCTTGTTGTTGAACCATCTTTTCAGCCTGTTGCATCATATTCTTCAGTTGTTTCCATGATGGCAGTTTGGACATTTGGTTTCTCTGTGCCTTTTCTGTCCTTTTCCCTCCTTACTAGCTTCCTCTTCCTCTTGGAGGGTCAGGGC